GACAGACAGACAGACAGACAGACAGACAGACAGACAGACAGACAGACAGACAGACAGACAGACAGACAGACAGACAGACAGACAACAGGTTAATAAGTTTAGTAGTATGCCATCAATTATTTTAGCAAACACTTTTAAATGTTTGTGTTTGAACTCTTAGAAAGATTCAATGGTTGATGATCTGTCAGGGAGGCCCTTGTTGACACAGTTTTCTTATAGTCTTTCACAGGGTGACAACAACATTACAGGTTTTTGTTCACAAAACAAACCCCAGAAATTATCTTTCTTTTTACAAAGATTTCTACAGGAGGCTGACACCATTTGGCACCATCTGCCTATTTAAATCAAGGAAACAAGATAAGACCTGAAAGATGAATCAAGTAACATACCTTAACATGACTCATTTGGGATTATGATAATTATATACCATAATGGGTTCCCTTCAGGCTTTTTTTCCCTCCCTTTTAAGACACTGCAAAAGTTTGAGAGCTTTTGAAAAGATCTGTTCTGACAGGACTTACATTCTGTATGCTACGATAAATCTGTGGGAGAATCACTTAGATATTCTGGCAAAACATATTACTGTCTTAACTGGTATTCAGAATATCTGGGAAAAGGATTATAAAGCTTGGAGTGCTCCTAGATCCTTAACTCCAGAATAACCAACTTTATTCACCATTGCAAATGCATTACAATGAAATTTGTCTTTTAACCAATCCATTGGGGAGCAGCGGGCAGCTTGCAGAGTGGCAGTCTGTGGTATTTGAACTAATCACCAAAGTTATTTGTTTTAATCAGAAGATATCCAGGATTTTCAAATTATGCGCATTTATATCAAATTCTGAAATATCAACTATTCATGCATGAAGGTGGGCTCAAAGATATCCACCAAAGTGTTTGCACTTTTAAATATTTAATAGCTTTGTCACCTAAGGCTTGTTAAAAACACATAACATGTTTTTATGTATGGCACACAAACTTATAAAAATATTATAGAAAAATGCTCGAAAACAAGGTTAATGATTAACTTAATAATTAATGTTCTCTAAAGGAGGATGGCTGGGCCTTGTATTTGCTGGAAGGTTTAAATCTGTTCATGTGTATGACTTGGAGATCACTTAGATGTTTTTAAAGTCTTTATCTTCACTCTTTTATCACTAAAAAATGTGAAACTTTAGGATTTTTTTTTCTTTAGTTTAGGACTTCAACTCAACCATTTAGGTTTTGCTTCTGAGTTTTCCAAACCTTAAATTTGATGTTACTGTAACTTGGAATCCAGATCTATCCCAATTTATGTGAAACATAAATCAAAATTAAACTTATTATTTAGTGCATGTTATCCCTCAGAGTCATCTACATACCGGTAATGTTTTTTTGTTCCAGGGACAGAAACAGTCTGAGCTACAAACCAGCAACCTTTGCGGTCGCTCTGAAAGCAAATGCTCCTCTCTCTAACCACCACTAGGGCAGCCTCTGCAGTTACAGTCCTTATGAAATGCAGTAACTTTAACTTAGGTAAGAAATAAAACTCAGGATTGATTGTCCTTGGCAGAAACTGCAGAAAATGACGTTGTAATGCAACACTACAACGGCAAAAACTTGTGAAATGTATGCAATAGCTATTTAACACCCTGTGCAATAACTATAACTATATATATATATATATATATATATATATATATATATATATATATATATATATGTCCATTTATATAAATACCAATGTAAACACCCTGTGCAATAACCCTGTATAATCCTGTTAAAAAACTAACCTTATACTGTATAAAAACAAGTGGGAAGTTATTTCTTATCTGAGATGCTGATTATTCTTCTTTTAGTTTAAAAATAAAAACCCACAAAAGACTAAATTATCTACAAGTAAACAGAAAACATTTGCTAGATTGCTGCGTTTCCTTTTGTTCATTGACCCCTGACCTTTAATTACTTCCTCCCTGACTATGTGCAGGTGCTGGAATGAGATGGTTAGGTGATAGTCTGTCTTCAAACACCCTCTCTGTCAAACCCACAGGGGAGCCGGAAAACCTCCTGCTAAGGCAGGTCAGAGGTGACGTGGGTCAAGAGCAGACAGGAAAGATTTAATATCCACATCTGGCGGCTGCACTTGTTCAGGGAAAACATTTCATCAACACTAACTGCTTTCACTCAGACTGTGCACCTTGGTTGCTTTTGTTGCAAACAAAGAAGCTGCTCCTGTAAGAGGTGAGGTACTCCTGTGTTGGATTATGAAAATGTTCTGACAAATTATTAGTGCTCTTCCAAGGACCCTGTTTATGCACTTTAAAGATTCTAGAAATATTCACAAGTAACTATCACAACAAAAAAAACCCATTAAATTCTATTTTATTTAGTAAAACCAAACAAGCTGACAAATGACAAATAAATAGAGGTAGAAGGATAACGATTAAAAAAGTGGATTTTTATTTTCAAACATATTTCTTTTAGATGTAAACATTCCTTAAATACTTAGCAGATTTTCTAGAGCTATATCTACTCTTACGTTTCCCCGACCAGTCCATGTACCTATTGTTTAATTCCAAAGCTATTGCTGCAACAGCATGAAAAGAAAAAAAAAATACAAACATAGAGTTGTTGGAGAAAAAAGGTCAATATAAATGTTTCTTAGGTCTTGAGAAAACAAGCTGGAGGATTTTAAACCAAACGTAGTTTAGAAAAATAAGATTTAAATAGTATATCAAAAAAACACCAGTTAAAACAACATGAAGGCTGACAATATTTAGCACTAAATATAAAGGGTTTCATTTGCTAGGTAATTCATGTCTTTTAACTTTTTCCAAATCTTGTCATGTTACAACCAAAACCAATGTGGAATTCATGACAAACACATGGCAGAATTATAGATGGAAAATTATACATGGTTTAAAAAAAAGTCTAAAAAGACATACTTTTAAGTAAACAGCCCCTTTTAAACTCAGACCTCTTGGTAGTATCCAATACCTTCTGAAGTCTCCTAATTGATCAGCCTGTTTTTAGTGATTTAGTCACAGTATACAGACATAAAGCCAACTGGGAATAATGTGACAAGACTTGAATAATATAAGATCACACACTCTCCATCCAATTTGAAAGAGCTTGATATATGATATAAATCAGAGTGGGCAAAAATGAATTTGTTCTTATTGCAGATGTGACCCTATCTATATGGAATACCACAGGAAGATAGAAGAATACACACCAATACTCTTGTGTTGATGTCTATTATATAAAATCTAAGTAAACTAGACTCTAAATTAGAGAGTTATGGTAAATTTCTCAAAGTGCTGTGAAACGTAATAGACCTGACTCAACAGTCTTCACTCTGCACAATGGACATGAAGAAAGCGCAAACGCTGGCCCAGGAGCTGCCGCAGTAATCCTCCGCTCTTCTCCGGTGCCCTGCGCCCTTAAGGCACGCAGCTGTGCTGGATTGGAGCGGCGGCGGCGTGGTGGCGGCAGTCCTGCCTATTTTCACGCTGTCTGGATTCAGCCTGAGGTGCGCTTGTCTGGGCGCGCGCTTACACATCCCGGTTTTTACCAGCGCGCTCCCGTCAATACACACTTTGCCCTGCAGCCTCTTGAACGCGCGCGCCACTTGTTTCCAGAAGGCTTTCGGGTCGGAGTTGTATCCCGGACAGCTCCGAGGTTTGCCGAAGTACTCGCAGCTGGTTTCGGTGACCCCGCCATTCCTCTGTGCCCCTGACGTTTCACAGTCCACCCGCACATTTACCGCGTCCCCGGTGTCGCTCGCGCTCCACGTGCAGCGCATCCCGTCTCTGGTGGAGAATTTCCCACCGCCGATGCCGGGCGGCTTAGCACCAGAAACCCGATGGAGTCGGTGCTCCAGAAGAAGCAGAAACATCCACAAAGAGAAACACCTCAGCAGAAACATCACCACTTTTGGCAGGAAATATCCACCTGAAAAATTAAGGACAGGATGATGAATCACCACTTACAAGACCAAAAACAAAGTATTTGATAGAGAGATAAAAGTAGTATGGGGTATTTGACTAGGTTCATCCAAAAAAAGAATAATAAAAAATTCTGCACTGGTGTCTAATGTAATGGAAAACGTAATTTCCAAACAAAACTATATTCAATAAAATTATTTCGCTTTTACGCATCAACAACATTCAAGCTGCGCTGATCATAAATTCACAAATTAAACAGGAACTAATATTTTTTTTAGAGAATGTCCAACCAGACACAAAGGAATTACACAAATGATGTAGATCTTACCAGAATGATGAGTGTCACTCTGCACAAACCTGCGTGTTGTGGCTCTCTGTGGTGCATTGCATGGTTTTCATGCGGAGCCAGCACGCCCACAATCCAACGTATACAGAGGTGCGTGGTTAGTATTTACGTTTACTTCAGTAACTTTTAACAAAAAAGAAAACAGAACGCAGAATCAGCTTTTTACTGTTTCCTCTAATGGCGTGGCTCATGTTATATACTATACTCAACCTTCTCTTATTTCATGGAATGACGCGCGAACGGATGCTGATGCTTTTGGGCCATCTGTTACTGAGAGACTTTTTATTCAAAGTTAGGTAAATAAATACTATTATAAATCATTAATACACATTTCATTGATTAAATAAATGTCTCCTTGAAATACCACAAATACCACAGTTATTTAATTCAAGAACTCGTGTTTTTTTTCTCTTTTTTTTTGCGGGGTGATATCTTATTTAAGAAAGTATTTTCTCTTTTCTCGATCTTAAAAATTTATCATGACACAGGACAGAAGGACTCAGTATTCAAGGCAAGACAAACAGTGGGATAATACAAAACCTTTATTTAAGAAATGGAACTGTATCTGTGGCTTGGACGGGGCGACAGTGGCGTTGGATGTAGGAGTTTGCCCTGAAATCGAAGGGTTGACGGTTCTCCGACTTTCAGTGTCGTTGTGTCCTTGGGCAAGACACTTCACTTGCATTGTCTACTGATGGTGGTCAGAGGGCCCGGTGGCCCAGTGTACGGCAGCCCGGCTTCTGTCAGTGAGCCCCAGGGCAGCTGTGGCTACAATGTAGCTTGCCACCATCACTGTGTGAGTGTGTGTGTGAATGGGTGAATGAATGTAGTGTAAAGTGCTTTGGTCAAGTCTCCTAACTTGAATAAAGGCGCTATATAAGTACATGCCATTTACCATTTGGACGTCTATCACTGGAAACTTTGAAAAATGAATCACAGGTTAGTGACCACGTAAATCTGGTTTAACAGTTCAGTTCACTGCCAGAGAATCAGGATGGATCCAGCCAGTGGGCTGCCAACAAGATGCGCTGGGCGCCGCTCAGTGTTACCCGGGTGTTGCAGCTCCGGTGAACACACAGGAATCTGGAAACAGATCAGAACAGGAAGGCTCAGAGGTCCAGGATTCCAAAAAAAGTTCTGGCAAACTGTTCAGATGGGAACAGTGGTAGAGAGGCAGAACAGGTCAGGATCAGGTAATCAGAAATACTATGGTACGCTAAAAACCACTCTCTCCACTGAGATGAGGTGTTAACAGGCACTCTCAGTGGATGAGAGGCAGAGCATATCAGGATCAAGAAATCAGAAAGACTATGGTACGCTTAAAACCACCCTCTTCACTGAGATGAGAAGTTAACAGGCACTCTCAGTGGATTAGAGGCAGAACATGTCAGGATCAGGTAATCAGAAACACTATAGTACACTAAAAAACACTCCACTGAGATCAGATGGGTACAGGCATGCTCAGTGGATGAGAGGCAGAACAGGTCAGGATCAGGTCATCAGAAACACTATAGTACACTAAAAAACACTCCACTGAGATCAGATGGGAACAGGCATACTCAGTGAATGAGAGGCAGAACAGGTCAGGATCAAGAAATCAGAAACACTTTGTTACGCTAAAATCCCTCTCTCCACTGGCCCCCGAGAATGAGAACAAGATGCAAAAATGAGAACAAGACCAAAAATTGAGGCAGGAGTAGGTGGATCAGTTGAGTGGTAATGACCAACCAGCCAGAGTTAGACATGCGAATGGAATGAGCAATTAAGCAAGCCATCAGTGCCAAGATCACGACAAAATGATAATTCTATCCCTACAGGAATATGTACCACAGGCTTTTAGGGTAGCCATAATTAAACCAAAGAGAGCTTCTCTTGAACCAAATTACTTCATGTATCATAGAGCTATATCCAACCCTGCTTTCTTGTATGGAATTATTTAAAAGTAGTTGCTAATTTAATGTGTGAGCACTTACTGGTAATTACCTTTTTGAAGAGTTTAAGTCAGGTAGTCTCTATCGTAAAGTCACTAATGATATTCTCAATAGACTTTTATCTGTACTTGTTAGATCTCCGTTCTGCATTTGATTTAGTCGATCATGATGTTCTTTTAGAACGTTTTGAATGTTCTTTAACAGAATAACTCTAGGCTTGTTTAAATCTTATTTATTTGACAGATTTCAGTTTGTTCACGTTAATGACAAATCTTCTTCATGCTCCAGGGTTACCTGTGGAGTACCACAGGGATCAGTGCTAGGGACAATTATATGCTCCCAACTGGTAGAATTAATAGGCAGCATGGGATTAATTTCCATTGTTTCTAATGAAATTAAACCAATGCATTACGGCACCTAAATGTGGATGACTTCATATTTTCTGAACACAGACTAGACAGAAGTTTATGTTTTTGGACCATCCATCCATCCATCCATCTTCCTCCACTTATCCGGGTTCGGGTCGCGGGGGCAGCAGCTTAAGTTTTTGGACCAGCGAATAAAAAAAAAAAGTGGATCGGTCAGTTCCTTCATCTGGATTGCATTAAAATTGTCTCAGATAACAATGTAAACACCATTGGTATTATTTTTGATTGAGAGTTGTCATTTAAATCCCATATTAAATCGTTTTTGAGAATTGTTTTCTTTCACTTCAATACAATTGCAAAAATTAGAAGTATCCTATAAGGGAGTGACATTGAAAACTACTCTATTTGTTACTTTGGAGCTTGACTGTTAGCAGAAAATGCTGCTAAAAGCCTCCAGCTATTCTACGTAACTCCTCCTGCTGGGCCTTGTCAACACATTTTGAATCCTGTGCTTCTGATATAAACATTTAAAAGGCGGGACTAGCAGCTGACACTCCTTATTCCATGCAGCATTGTGTCATATTTAGGAGTAGTTCATTTCCGCTTGTGTTGAAGTAAAACTCAAAAATGTTTTGACAGGCGAGAGGAGAAATACCACACGGGAGCTCAGCTAGACCGAAGAAAGTTTATGCTGTACTGCCTGTGGACACAGATATTGTATGAACTTGTGGTGGGAAATTTTTATTTCCTATTAATTTCCCTTACATATATCTATTTACAAGTGCTGATTTTACATTTATTTACTTTATGAAAATGTTAGTTGATTTATTAGAGATTGTTTAGGACACAAAGTAATGGTTTCCATAACAAGCCAGACTCCTCAGGGTTTTATTCATAACATTTTACTATTTTACTCAACTGTCTGTAACTTGTTGTTTTACCTCTATTGGAGACTTTCACAGTTTTTTCTGCAGGCTTTAAGTTAGTGAGCAAAACTTTGTCTAGTCAGAGCAAGAGAGAGCTTCGAGCTGTGTGTTATGATCTATCGTTTCTCTCCTCTTTGAATAAAATGCTGACTGATTGACAAAAACAAACCAGAAACCATGGAGACGGAGTGAGACGGAGTTGGAGGAAGTTAGGCAAGGAACCAGCCCTGAGGAACTGCATAAGGAGAGTATTTATGGGAGACTAAACAAAGAGAGGACTAATCAGCAGATTGGGAGCAGGTGTGAACAGAGCAGACAGGAAGGGAGCTAGGGAAAAAGGAGAACACAAAGGGGCAGCAGAGGGCAACAAATAGGAACCTGAAAAATAACCAGAGAACACAACAAAATAAGAATTAAACCACTAAAACATGGAACAAAGTAAAACTGAAAATTGAAAAGAAAACATTACAGAACCAAGACTGACAATGCCCAACTAAACTCTGAGTTTTTCCTTTTTTCTAGCCTTCCCTCAGAAGCTGCCTAAACCCGCCATATTTTGGTTGTCCTGATTTTTTAATCATGCCCCACTTCTCAGGCCCCCTTCACCAGCCCTGCTTGAATACATTTTTGGTTTGGACTTGGTCCTTTTGTGGGTCTCCGGATATTTAGTCTTTTTGTTTTCCTGTTTGTGTTAGTTTTATACTTTTTCCTTTTTTTTCTTTTTTCCTTTTCCTTGTTATTTGGCTGTGATCTTTACTGACAATTCTGTTAAGCATACTTTAAGTTTCTTAGTATGTATGAGCTTGAGTTATTTCTGTAACAACTGTTTGGGGTTTCATTATGTCTCTGTCTGAGAAGCATATGCTGGGAGACAAGAATACAACATTTAGTTTTTAACAAGTGTATTACGTACATCCTTACATTAGGCAAAATTATGATCTTGGCTCTACATGGTTGTGTTCTACTGTCTGTCCATACAGTATGATGATTCGATAAAAGACATGAACATATTTCCTTGACCAGATTTCACCTTGATTGGGTGCATTTTTTAAATATTTGTGACTGTCAGGGAGGCTACCATACCGGTTTAGTTGTTGATAAACAACATATCTTAGCTGGTTCTTTTAAGATCTCCGCCCATTGCTCTACTTTGGCAACACATGACTTTGAATGCTTAGATTCAGATCTAAGGGTTTAAAGGTATGTCTAAAAGCTCATACACCTCATTCACAGCAGCAGAAGACTAGAGTGCTGTTTCATCCACAATGAAAAAGTCTTTTTTGTTAAGGGGAAAGTTTGAACAGACAGGAGTTCAGCTGGACCATGGAAAGTTCTCTTGTTCCATCTGTTTGGACTTACTGGATGATCCAGTGACTACTGCCTGTAGACACAGCTACTGCATGAACTGTATTAAAGACCACTGGAATGGAGAGGCCCAGAAGGGAACTTACAGCTGTCCTCAATGTAGAGAGACCTTTATGCAGAGACCTGTATTGAGGAAAAACACCCTATTAGAAGAATTAGTGGAGGACCTGAAGAAGATTGGACTTCCAGTTGCTCCCGCTGATCAATGCTTTGCTGGACCTGATGATGTGGCCTGTGATGTCTGCACTGGAAGGAAGAAGAAAGCTGTGAAGTCCTGTCTGGTTTGTTTGGTCTCCTACTGTACGAATCACCTTCAACCTCATCATGATGTCAATCAGCTTAAGAAACACAAGCTTGTGGAGCCCTCCAAGAAGCTGCAGGAAAACATCTGCTCTCGTCATGATGAGGTGATGAAAATCTTTTGTCGTACTGATCAGCGATGTATCTGTTANTTTCTTAGTATGTATGAGCTTGAGTTATTTCTGTAACAACTGTTTGGGGTTTCATTATGTCTCTGTCTGAGAAGCATATGCTGGGAGACAAGAATACAACATTTAGTTTTTTAACAAGTGTATTACATCTTTACATTAGGCAAAATTATGATCTTGGCTCTACATGGTTGTGTTCTACTGTCTGTCCATACAGTATGATGATTCGATAAAAGACATGAACATATTTCCTTGACCAGATTTCACCTTGATTGGGTGCATTTTTTAAATATTTGTGACTGTCAGGGAGGCTACCATACCGGTTTAGTTGTTGATAAACAACATATCTTAGCTGGTTCTTTTAAGATCTCCGCCCATTGCTCTACTTTGGCAACACATGACTTTGAATGCTTAGATTCAGATCTAAGGGTTTAAAGGTATGTCTAAAAGCTCATACACCTCATTCACAGCAGCAGAAGACTAGAGTGCTGTTTCATCCACAATGAAAAAGTCTTTTTTGTTAAGGGGAAAGTTTGAACAGACAGGAGTTCAGCTGGACCATGGAAAGTTCTCTTGTTCCATCTGTTTGGACTTACTGGATGATCCAGTGACTACTGCCTGTAGACACAGCTACTGCATGAACTGTATTAAAGACCACTGGAATGGAGAGGCCCAGAAGGGAACTTACAGCTGTCCTCAATGTAGAGAGACCTTTATGCAGAGACCTGTCTTGAGGAAAAACACCCTATTAGAAGAATTAGTGGAGGACCTGAAGAAGATTGGACTTCCAGTTGCTCCCGCTGATCAATGCTTTGCTGGACCTGATGATGTGGCCTGTGATGTCTGCACTGGAAGGAAGAAGAAAGCTGTGAAGTCCTGTCTGGTTTGTTTGGTCTCCTACTGTACGAATCACCTTCAACCTCATCATGATGTCAATCAGCTTAAGAAACACAAGCTTGTGGAGCCCTCCAAGAAGCTGCAGCAAAGCGTCTGCTCTCGTCATGATGAGGTGATGAAAATCTTTTGTCGTACTGATCAGCGATGTATCTGTTATCTCTGCATTATGGATGACCATAAAGGCCATGAAACGATCCCAACTGCAGCAGAAAGAATTAAGAAGCAGAAGGACCTCGAGATGAGTCAACTGCAGACCCAGCTGAGAATCCAGGACAGAGAGAAAGATGTGAAGTTGCTTCAACAGGAGGTGGAAGCCATCAATGCCTCTGCTGAGAAGACAGTGAAGGAGAGTGAAAAGATCTTCACTGAGCTGACCGTTCTGATCCAGAAGAGAAGTGTTGATCTGAAAGAGCAGATCAGATCCCAGCAGAAAACAGAAGTGAGTCGAGTCAAAGAGCTTCAGGAGAAGCTGGAGAAGGAAATCGCTGAGCTGAAGAAGAAGGATGCTGAGCTGAAGCAGATCGCTAAAATGGAGGATCACAACCAGTTTCTGCAGAGCTACATCTCCCTGTCAGCGCGCAATGAGTCCACACACCCACCCAGCATTAACGTTCATCCAGTGAGCTACCTACAGGATATCACAGCCGCTGTGTCGCAACTCAGGGACAAACTACAGCACATCCTGAGTGACACATGGACAAACTTCTCACTGACACTCAATGAGGTGGATGTTTTACTGTCAGAACCTGAACCAAAGACCAGAGCTGACTTCCTAAGATATTCACAAGAAATCACTCTGGATCCAAACACAGCAAACAGTTATTTGTTATTATCTAAAGAAAATAGAAAGGCAACTTTAATGAAAGAAGAACAATTTTATTACGATCATCCTGAGAGATTCATTGATAATCTTCAGGTCTTGAGCAGAGAGAGTCTGACTGGTCGTTGTTACTGGGAGGTTGAGTGGAGAGGAGAAACAGTCGAAACAGCTTTTTCATACAGGACTATCAGCAGAGCAGGAGATGAAAGTGACTTTCGATACAACGACAAATCTTGGTCTTTAGTTTGTGACAAACACATTTACACATTGTATCACAACAGAGTAAAAACTCAAGTGTCTGGTCCAGTTTCCTGCAGAGTAGGAGTCTACCTGGATCACCGAGCAGGTATTCTGGCTTTCTACAGCATCTCTAGTACCATGACTCTCCTCCACAGAGTCCAGACCAGATTCACTCAGCCGCTACATGCTGGAGTTGGGTTATACGAGGATGGAGACTCAGTGGAGTTCATTACAAGACAAACATGAGTGAATTCAGTTCCAGATATTTAGAATGTGTACTTTTTTTTTTGTTTAGATTATATCGCTATCCATTATTATTACTGAGAGCTCATTGTTAGATTATTTCTTCACTAGTCAGAGGCCATGAAGCTTCTTTGTCATCTTGATGTTTGTTGATGTTGGTTTGGTTGTAAAGGATATTACTAACATTGGTTCATAAGTGTTTATTATTCTCTTGCAGCAATGACGCGTTATATCTAAGGCGTTAAACAACAAGGTGTCTTGCTGGTGAAGATTGCCAGTCATCCATGTCATAGTCATTCCAAAAAAGTTAACAAACAATCCACTTCCGCTTCCTATCCAAAAAAGCTTTTTCACTTTAAAATGTCAGAATTACTGTTGAGTCGGAAGCTTTATATTGTAGCCCAAAAACTTGTTTTGGCTTAGAAAACATGCAAACTGAACCAAATGAACAGGTCCGCTCCTTAGGAATAGGCATTCATTTCAAACTCTATAAAGCCTTAATTCAACGCTATTTCTGACATTTTGAATTGAAAAAGCTTCCTGGATGGGAAGCAAAACATCTTCAAACTTGGAAACAAAGTCCAATGGATTTTTTTTGTTGTACTTTTTTCAAACAAGGTGTCTTAAAATTAATTGCACAGATGCAGTCCAAAACTGCAAACTATTGTTTTGAGAAACTGTACTTCATGGTAAAAATGTGGTAAATTATTACATTGTTAAGGCCCAATTCTAAGCTTCTAAGCACATTTATGAGAGGACACGGTTACTGCTGCAGTTTTGTTGTGTACATGTATATTTAGTAGTATTTCATGAAGTATATGGGTTACTATAAAGTGTAACAGTTATTTTTTCAGCCACCAGATGGTGCTCATGTTCTTTGGTAAATGAATTATTGCTAGTAATGCAAACCTTAACAATATTCAATGTTATGCTACGTAAAAACACAAATAATTGCAATATGATCTATTTTATTTAACGGTACTGGAAAGGCATAGGTCAGATAAATATAATAAAATGCCTGGTAAATGCATTCTAGGTAGAGACTGTCAAAGATAAAAAAAAGAGTGCAATAATTGAATGTAATAAATTAAAATGAAAAGTTGTATAAATGAGGAAAAGGAAATGTTTTGTTTATGAGTTAAATTATATCTTTAATCTGTTCTTTGTCAAAGTTAAAAACCCTGTGTTGACTGTACCACTAGTTTAAGTTAGCATTTTATTGTGTTTTCTTGTATCATATTTTTATCTTTATTTTCTTTTATTTTGATTTGATTTTTCTTTATATTTTATTTTCTAATTAATGTGAATCACTCTGAATTGTCCTATACAAATAAACTTGCCTTTCCTTGCCTTGTATGCACCGGGTTGGAACGGTTCATACACACAACGGCCTTAATCCTTCAGGGCATAGATTCAAGAGTCACTGCAAATGCTCCTCTTGGGTTTCAGTCCATATTGACAGGATAGTATTGTTATTTGAGTACAGTGAACTAGATGTGTTTAAGAAACCAGTCTAAAATGATTCACACTTCATAACATGGAGCATAACCCTGCTGGAAGTACCCATCAGAAGACCCAAAGAGGACCAAGAAATGATCTTCCACACCATTACACTGCCAGCCACCGCCTGAACCTGACATGATCTTGGCACTGGATGACTGGATTATTGGTTTAGTTCATCCATCTGCTTAGCTCCGCACAGATTTCATTATCACTCATCAGATCCCCCTTTTCCAGTTCCTATTTAAACTGCTTGGTCCCAGCCATCGGTACCAGGTCATTCGAGCCGTAGGTGAGAGTTCTTTAGCGTATGCAGTGTGTTATTCCGATTGCCTTATCCTGACAAAGTTTCTGCTCCTGGACGTCTGAGTTTGTCTGTCCCTGTTCTGATCTGTTTGCCTGACCTGTCTTCGGACTTCCTTTGTATTCTGCCTGCTAATGTCCTTTGATCCGTCTCTTGACCCTGGTTTGGATTTTCCTTCGGAACCTCTTCGTATCTCAGATCTTCTGGCCTGGATGTCTGCTTCCTTATCAACACCGGCTTTGGATTCTCCTTCCAGATACTTCTGCTCTTCCTGGTCTGCTGGCTTCTGTTCGTCTGTGTGCTCTGCAGCACCATTGATTCTACTCCTGAAGCTCTCTGGGTGGCTTCCGTTGGATGCTGTGGGAAATCATCTCATTTTAAGAGCTTTCTAACTACTTTCTTTTAGTCATTCTGCACCGTGCTACTTGGAGATATTTTCCATCATAGGATCCTTTATGAATAAGGGCCCTGATCTACCCGGAATAAACATGGTTTTCTATATCTGACCATGATTATTTTACAACAGATGTTTATAAAGCTTGAAAGAGCAACTTAAAAACCTTAATATAACTTCCTGAGATCAACAGTGAAATAACTCCCCCTACTGCTGCATTGTCTTTGCTTCCTCTCCTTCAGATCAAAAAATTTAGAGGTGGGTCTAACTGATCTCACGCCTGATTCGCTGCAGCAGCACGTGACATTTAGAGCAGAGTTCTGTTTTGTGTGAAAACGAAACTCAAAGTTACTCCCGCCAAGAGTTGAAATGGCACAGACAGGAGTTCAGCTGGACCCAGAAAAGTTCACTTGTTCCATCTGTTTGGGCTTACTGGAGGATCCAGTGACTACTGCCTGTGGACACAGCTACTGCATGAACTGTATTAAAGACCACTGGAATGGAGAAGCCCAGAAGGGATCTTACAGCTGTCCTCAATGTAGAGAGACCTTTATGCAGAGACCTGTCTTGAGGAAAAACACCCTATTAGCAGAATTAGTGGAGGACCTGAAGAAGATTGGACTTCAAGCTGCTCCTGCTGATCAATGCTCTGCTGGACCTGATGATGTGGCCTGTGATGTCTGCACTGGAA